GTATCTGGCAGTCTCTCTTCGCGAATGACTCATCAGCTAGTTACTTATGGTTTATCATATTTCTCCAAGACTCAGGGAAGTCGAGTCTGGCGACCTTTATCATGGCATGCGTCCACTACTTTTGTGGTTGCCCACTGTCTGCAGTGTCGAAATTATGTGGTGCGGAGACTGCAAAGCTCTTTGATATGCGGTGCGCTAGTTCTGTGTGGCTTTCCTGTAGCTGCAGAAAAGTTTCAGTGTTCACTCTCCTCACTAGTTGGATGGGCGGTCGCGCAGGGGTAGCAGGTTGGTTAAACTCCGGAGGTGCCGAATCCCTAAAAAAAGAAAATGCTACCTTTAATCGCTGATTACCTTGAGCAAGGAATTCATTCCACATTGTTTCGATATAACCAGCCGAGAAGCAGGTGACGAGTCGTTGACCTGTGATTAAGAGGGACACCATGGTGTTTAGGTACGGCCATACAGAATGATGAGAAGTGCGTCCATGCTGCCGGATGCGAGCGATTCTTAGGTACGCAGTTCGTCATGATCCATCCAATAGCTGATCCCTAGTGATAATCAGCATATTCTATAAACATTGTTGTTCCTTTAAAATGGATAGCTCGCAGGTGATAGACGGGAATGTTTGGAAACCACCAACGGCTCAGTTTTGTTTCGGACGTGACTTTACGAAATGCGAAGTTGGGGTTTTCAAAGCCTGGATTAAATGGGCAGCCGAATAGTTTTCAGCGGCGTTAAAATCTATGAACCGAAGAAATTGGAGGTGCTTATTTTACGGTATTGTTTGGTGCTTAAATGTACTTGTTTTGTAAACTTCGATAAATGTAATTTAGGTAACTATATTTCGGTAGCATTTGATGGATTTCCGTTGCTAAAGGGCAAATAACGTTGTCGTTTGCTGTGATTCAGTTAGCTACCGAAGGACGCACTCATTGTCACTTAGCTTTCGTATGGAAACGCTCATAACTGAACAATTTTAGGAACGTTTACAAAGATTATAAGCAGCTTGAGCTTTCGACGATGACCCAGGACGACGTAGATGCGTGGAAGGCTAGCTTTTTGCGTGCCGGGGTTTACCTTGACAAGGAAGTGGTAAACGTTGACGATGTAAGCGCAGATTGCTACTGCTTTGTGGTTGACAGCGAAATGTTATAACGCATATTCGTTTTCGTTGCATTTTCGCAGAAAGAAGAGGACCACGACAATATGGATCCACAGTTGGAGCGGCAAGTAGAGACGATACGAAACTTAGTAGATTCTTACATGCGTATCGTCAACAAGACTATCCGTGACCTAGTTCCAAAAGCGATCATGCACCTCATTGTTCACAGCGTAAGTTCTATTTTGTGCACATGATTTCGACAATGGCGCGTAAATCTTTTGCAGACAAACGACTTCATTCATCAAGAGTTATTGGCGAATCTGTACCAGGCCGGCGATCAGGTTTTCATTTCAGTTTTTAATTGTCACATGTCTATTAGTTTGGCCAAGCTGTTTTTTTCAGGAGTCGTTAATGCAAGAAAGTGAAGCGGCAGCCAGTCGTCGTGAGGAAATGCTTCGCATGTACCACGCCTGTAAGGAGGCGTTACGCATCATTGGCGACGTTTCAATGAGTGCGCTGACGTCGATGTCCGCCCCGTCGCTCGATCATATGCTCGAAAGCTCCATCCCTCCCAGGTTTGGGTTGGCTTTCGACCGACCGCTTCCTGACGGCGGCAGAGGCGACGGTTCGGTTGCTCATTTCACTGTATCACGATTTAGGCCGAACACGCAGTCGAACGGCGCACCTTCGTCAGACTTGCATCGCGTTGCCAGTCACCCGTCAACTAGCCGACTACCATATCAGTCTTCGAACTACGCCGTCACTGCTCCTCGGCCGGCACCGACCGCGCCAATTGCTGTTACTAGTGTCGTGTCCTCGACGCAGCCGCCACGAATTCCAAGTCGTCCTGCACCAACCCCCATCGCGGCCAATACCGCTGCTCTGCCACCACCATTAGTTCCGCAGTAAGAACCGATCTCTGTTTTCATTTTTCTTTTCAAACTCATAACAGGTTCTCGTTTACGTGTAAAGTTTCTCATTCCCTGAGCATTTGCGTAAGGTTAAGGGAATATCCTTTAGCATCGCTTTCATTTGAGGGATCTCGTTATGATTCAGATCAAGCAATATCTGGAAATGCAAGCAAGCAAATGGTTGATGAAACTAGATATGCCTGAGAAAAAACTTCTACTTTTTTCCACAAATCTGTTTTTGACATATGAAACTAATTTAAATATATCTACCATATTTTTCGTTGCAGTTACTCGAGAAGCAGGGCGTCCCATACATAAGACGCCAGGAAGTACAGCAACTTTATGCATAAATCGAACTGCATGACAGAATCAGTTTTTGTGTTGTCATGCAATGTACCTCTTCATTATACATAATGTTCTTGCAAATTTGTTTACAAAGCATTTAACACGTTTATCTAATGTTGATTACTTTGTATGGTATGTAATAAAACAGCTTACAGAAATCCACCATCGCGTTTTCTACAGCGAATCAGATACATTTTTATGAAAGATGCGCGATATAGTCATTTAATTTAAAGGATCAATAGGAAATGTCACGCATCTGTTTTTGTTTTTAGGGGATCTGTCAGTTGCTTTTTTATGGATATCATTTGATGTTTGTAGATGCTTTGCTGTTGGCAACCGCACGGTTTTAGTAACATTCCAAATGATTGCACTTTTATCCCCGCTTTTTATGTAATTAGAAGTTATTTAGCTCTGCCAGCTGTGTTCTGAGTTGAGAGATGAACTGTTCTATAACAAATCGATGTCCAGTGTAGATTAGTATTTTGATTGCGCCTGTGCATGCCCCCATAAGTTTCTGGTACTGTTGGAAGATGCCTGACTATTCGGCACTATGCTTTTTCTATCCTTCCTGGTTTGTCAGTTCGCTTTGTGGATTGGCTCAACAAGAAATGATGCAAAGCTTTTTGTTATTGCATCACAGATCATCGTAATTTTATTGCTTGAGATCTGTTATCATAGCGGCCCTTGTAAATTTTTCACTTTTGTTTTTAAAGACAATGCAAAATATCTTTTATTTCTTGAATTGTGCCTGTGGCCATCAGATGTTTCTTAACTACTCTAAGACAGAAGCACGTAAAGAAACTGAGTAAAGCGAAAATCTTCGTACCTTTGTATACGTCGTTTTTTCGCTTTTTTTGTGACCAGCAGTTACAGGGCAAGTGATAGAGGAGTGTGTTCTTTTGCGATCAACTGTACGTTCTTGGTTATCTTAACTGCTATATCATAAATGCATTCGTCACATTGTCCTCTATGTATCCTAGAAAAATTCTTTAAAATTCGCAATAACTTTTAATGGTTAGACATACCCATGATATTTGGGTACTAACAGAAGTTCTCTAGCTAGCTAATCAACTAAGCAGCAGTATCGAAAAAAAGTTTTGTTAGTAAATACTTTGATATCATCATCAACATCGTAATGAACATCATTGATATCTTTCACTATATATGATTTCTGACCATCACTGAAAAACTTCGAACCCGGGTACAAGCTGCTGAAATGGGCTTTCTTAGACGAGTCGCTGG